CCTACTTCGGGTATGCAGCTCGAGTGATGAGATCGCTTTGTCAAAAAATAAAAGAGCACACCATACTTAGAAGAAAAAGAGAAATTTCATTTTCATTCCCAAAAAAAAAGAAGAAAAAACTGAGCTAAACAACTCGAGAAAATTCAACAATGGATAAAAAAGGGCACAACCGCCCAAGAAGAGCTTTGAAGACCGGGTTCTGGCACCCAGGAACCACCAGTGATTAGTCAGAAGAACAGAAAAACATAGCCGCCAGCCTCAGGGGTCCACCTCCTCCACCTCGCCCTCGTCCTCCGGGGAGTCAGGCTCTTCCTCCTCTGCCTAGTCTGTCGTCTCGGGAGCCAGGCCCTTCATGGTGATGCCGTCAAGGTTGAGCCTAGAGAACTTCTTTCGGACCAACCAGCGGCAGAGCTTGAATCCGGAGCGGTACGAGCTCGAGCCATACTCCACTTGGAGGTCGTGATACTCTTGGGAGTCCTTGAAGTCCCAGATTGCCTTCTCCCGCTCGGCCTCCACCATGGTGTCGAAGTTCCAAGTTCAGTCCAAAAGTGTAAACTCCAAGTCCCGAACTTGTTGGCGAAGAAGCTCCCTCTCCGCTGCCACCCTCGACGACTCCTTCTTGTAGCGCGCGCTCTCCTCAGAAAGCCTGATGATCTGCGCCTCTTGGTCACGGACAAGTAGCTCCTGGGCCTCGCTCCCCTTGCATGTGTGAAGGATCTCACCCCGGGCCTGATTGAGCTCACCCTGGAACTTCTGAACGATGACTCTCTGATTGCGAAAGTCGCCGGAGTGGATATTCGTCTGGTGGGCCATAGCGTGGATGGCGGTGTTCACCTGCCAACAAGAGACTAAGGTCAAAGAACGTGAGGGAAAGAACGAAAAGAAAAAGAAAAGACCACTTACCACCATACAGTGGGAGGCGGCAAACGCGGCGAGCGCCCTAGGCTCCATCTCCCCCCATCTGGCGACCTCCTCGTGGCAGATTGCCCTTCGGCTCTTCCGCCCAGCCACAATGTAGTCATTGACCCCCTCCCAGTTCCCTATTGGGAACTGCGGGTAGGGGAATGGGTGGGAAGGACTAGGAGGAATTACCCCTTGCCTCGGGAGCTCGCCCTCCTCGAGGCCACCCTCTCCGATGCCTCATTCAGATGGGGCCGGTGGAACTTCGGGTGGTGGAGAAACAAGGTCTGGCTCAGCAGACTCGAACTCAGTGCCCCCAGAAGTGGAAGTTCGGTCGGGACGCGACCTCTTCGCCTTACGCTTCTGGTTGCTGGAGAGAAGGCGGCACGCATCAACACTAGACATGATGGCTGCCAAAAAACCACAAGGTATTATCCAGTAAAAAAAAGGAAATATATGTATACATATGATATATATTTACAGGGCACTGCGCGACCCAAAAGGCAACCTACCCGGACTCAGGCCGGCTTGCGTGAGCTTCTCCTTGGTCAAGTAATCTGAATAGAGAAGGCCAACAACTGCCCAGGATAGTAGTGTTTTTCGAGTTTCAGAGTCCAACTCAGCCCCGGGATCCTGGATGGCGCCCTTCCAAGAAGTTGGGAAGGGCCACCCCTTGGGGTTACGGACCACAAAATAGTCCCGCTTCCAGGCGGGAACCCTGTTCGGCTGGCCGTGCAGAAGCTTAAAGCCGCGGCGGGGAGAAAAGTAATAAGAACGCATTTTCGGAGGTGCTCCGGGAGTGGCATTCTTAATACAGAGAATGGAAGTAAAAATATCGAGGTCAAGGGGGAGGCAATACTCATAGAACAAGGAAATCGTCCCAACCACTTTCCGGATGGCATTGGGATGGAGCTGGTCAATGGTGACGTTAAAATGATTCAACACCTCCACTATTTGGGGGTGTAGGGGAAGACGTAGGCCAGCCTCAAGCTGTTCCTAAAAAATCACTATATCATTGGGACCATGCTCCCAAGGAAAGTTACCAGAGGGGAGACCGTAGATAAGGTCCCCGGGAAGGTGAAAATGGCGGACTAGAGATCTGAGCCTCCCCATCGTCATAGAGGAAGGACCGAAGGTGTCGGGCTCTCTGCCCCGAGAGGTAGAAGCCACTTCGCCGGAGGCCTCCCGAGCCTTCGGAGCCTACTCCCAAGCTCCCCCCAAGCTCAAAGGGGTGTCGTCATCCTAGTCACCATCCCGGGGATAAACGTGGTACGGATACCCAGACATGATTGATAGAATGAATGACTCACTAGAAAGATGAAACGGTGTGAACAGAAGAGCTCGGGTAGACTAGATGGATGCGCGACCTCAGAATCCGAAGACAACAAGTTAGCATGAAAGAAAATGAGGCCTAGGGGCCCTCCTATTTATAGCCACTGTGCCCTCAGACCAACGGCCCAGATTGAGGCAGATCTAACGGTTCGCAGTCAAACTGACCACACGTCTTATGAAACCGAAATGTGACTGGCTGCACGTCTCCCATGATTGAGGTAATGACGGCTACACGACATCCAGAGTTAAGAGCCGCTTCGGCACGCTTCTTGGCATTCAAAGCGTCAGAAATCTCCTCACTTTTGTGCATGCATTTGATGCGAACAGTCAATCAAATTTGAACTTCGGTCAAATCCACCTGTCCCACTTCATGAACTCTTCACGCTAAGGTAGCACTCTTAGCCCGATCCCTTGGGACAATGACACGTGGACCTAACTCGGCACGAGCAAACGACTCAGCACCGTAGCCTGACTGCGACTAAGTAACGAGCCTACAGGACAGCTCGCTACATCATAGCTCGCTATAGGGGCAGCTCACTACACCATAGCTCGCTATAGGGGGAGATCGCTACAACGCAAGCTCGAGGTTCCCCGAGCTACTGAAAGGGAATACTCCAGGACAAGTCTATCCCAGCTCGCGAGCTAGGATAACCAGCTCGCTCCACACTTAGGCAGGAAAACTGCCCCAAAGACAACCTTGAGAAGGGTCACCTCGAAGTACTCCTAGGAGCTCGCTACAAAGTAGCTTGTGGCAGGATAGCTCGCTACGCGACAGGATAGCTCGCGGCTAAGCGACACGATGCTTTCAGGAAGCTTCTATCTGACAAGACCGTACCTGTCAGGCTGCGCCACGTCTCCTGATCGACGGCGCAGTCCCTACCAATTCAACGGACTGCACCCACGTCTCTCGACAGATGGTGACGTGCCTGTCCTTCTGGGACGTGTCACTCACCCAATTGGGTAGTACCCTGCAGCGGTCACCTGTGCAGCCCTGGCWGGTAACGGCTGCAACAGAAGCCCAGTGGCGGTTACACCCAATTTGACAAGAACGCCTATATAAGAACTCCCTAGTTAAAGGGAAGCTCTCTCTCGAACATCAGAGATCCTATCTGAAAACTTACTTGCTCTCGAGCTAATCTTGAGAACTTAGTGATCTAGCGCGACCTACACTCTTAGCCTCTCTACACTCTTTGCTTTCTCCCCCAGCGTTCTAACTTAAGATTCAGAGTATTCCCGCCAAGCAAATCCCCCAGGAATCCTTCATCTTCTTCCTCTCAGGTGTCGTCCGTTGCCAGTTAGGAGCCAGTCAACAGCCAGCTAGGAGTGCCCGGATCGTGCCGCATCAAATATGTAATTTTCTCCTTGGCTATGTTACAATTTCAAACTAGAAAAATAAACACCATGGGAACTATTTTGAAGTTTATTTTTGTTCCTAGTTATAAATGAGAGTGTAGACATGCCATTGCACCTTTGTTTTTGCTAGCATGACCAATCATAAATTAGAGTAGACAGAATAAGAATCATGTAGAGAAAATGAGGAGAAATTATTTGAAAATGGATTATTGTTAAGTACATAAAAGATGATGACTCACCAGCAAGGAGTTCCTATAAGGGGGCATTTTTTTTTCGGATTTTGAAAGGGGGGAAAGTTGGTCAATGAGATTTTGGTTCCCATTGATCAAGAATTCTATGTTTTTTTTTTCAAATTTATGTGGGGATTAGGGAAAGTTTATTTTCCTGGGTACCACTTACCCGGGTAAGTGATACCCATCTCCTAGGTGGGTAAATAACTTTTTCACCTAAGGGGAAAGTTGCCAACACTTGAATGGAACAAAAATACCCCTTTTAATAATGGATTTTTAAGGCTAAAATGGTCATTGCCTTATTTACATGAAAAAGAAAAGAACATGGGTAAATGCACTTACCCGGTTAAGTGTTTCCTAGGAAAAACTTACCCAAGTAACTGCACTTACCCGGGTAAATAACTTACCAAAAAATGAACAGGGCCTAAAAGTAATGGTCATTAATAGGTGAATAAGCACATCAATTCTAACCTGAGGGGTAATTTGGTTAATTTTAAAAGTTTAGTGGAACCAAAGAAAAGAAAACATAACAAGCCTAAATGAGGGGCAATTTTGTTCTTTTAAATTTAAGGATGCATGACTTGTTAAATGAGGGTGAAAAGTTCTCTTTTTGAACAAATAAGTGTTTGTTGTAGAAAAAAGACTACTAAACGCCTAATATGAAATAAGTGTTTTTTTTTAAATAAATACTTGAAAAAGATGAGTGCCAAATGCAAATAAGTGGCCTGAGGCCACTTATTTTTAATATGAACGCTCCAAACTTGGCCTGAGGCCTTAGGGGCCCTCTTTTGAAATGTTGATGAATTCAAAATATCTCACGTGGGAATTGGGGAAACACCTATGAGAACTCTTAGGCTATGTTTAATTTGATAAAAAAAAAGAGAAAAACAGAAAAATAAAAGTTAAAGGGAAAAAATTATTAATATGAAATTCTTTCAAAACTTTCCCTCAACTTTCTATTTATCTTGTTTTCTGTCAAACCATACACTGCCTTAAAAGAAAGGAAAAGATAACAAATCATCCTCTATACGTAAATTGCAAAATTAACAGTTCTCTCTCAATCTCTCGTCTCTAACGTAGGGGCCATCTTCTGGTGATTTAAGTCTCAGTCAATAAATGATGCATGTACTCAATTGATCAACTCAACTCTACTTTAGCAAGAGTATTACTGAAGTGCACCTGTGGTTAATCTCATGTGTACCTCGATCTGGTTTACTGGTTAATCGCATGATCAGTGCTAGATAGATTCAAATCGAACGTGAGAATTCAGCTCTTTGTATAAATAATAAATAATTTGGCCGGTGGGCCCCGTCAAACCACGTCATGGCCCATGGCCATGGGTATAGATGATGATGGTAGGAGCTGAGCGCAAAGCCCCACAAACAATGAAACAACTAACACTGCCCACTGCCCACACTGCACTGCACTGCATAGACCGGCTGGACTGCAACTGCAGCAGGTATGAAAACAGGTTAGGACTAGTTATGAGGGCCAAGTCCTGACGATGAGGACCAAATGCGTGGACTTCCAGTGTCCTTGCTGCCTTGCTCGCTTTAACTCGAAAGCTTGGGGTCCAATAACGTCTCCTAGTCAATTCAAAAGGATCTCTACTCCATTAACAAATAAAGCGTAGTAAGCGCTTAATTGGTTGATCCAGAATTCAGAAATAATATATAGGATGAAGAGAAGATAATACATTTGATTTGAGCAACTTCACCACACTTTCTTCTTTCCCGAAACAAAGAAAAGAAAGAAAGCAAATACCAAAGGAAAGAGAGAGAGAGAATTCAAACCAACCCTCTTCTCTTCATCTGCCTTCCGGATGCAAAGGGAAGAGTTCCAGTGTCTTATCTCCCTCTTCTCCTCCTCCACAAAACCCTCTATCCTGTTGGAAGAATTCGATTGCCCAGCCTCGGTGTTTCCGTTTGTAGTGACTATCTTCTTCTCTTTCTATTTCGTCCCTCTGCACCACACCACCAAGGCTACAGTTAAATCTAAGATAAAAAAAAGGAAAGAAAAACCTGTAATTTGCTCTGCTGATACCTACATTAACATCCAAGGCTACAGTGGTAGCGGGAGGAGTCCTTGGAGAATGAACAAGACCCAAACTGTTGCGCTTCTGCTTCTGTCTCTCCCGCGCTTTGTGGTTTTGGAACCAATAGAAAACGTTCTTTCCTTCAATCTTCCCAAACTTGCCAAGCTGAGCAGTGATTTTCTCTATCTGTTGGGCGTTGGGGGTACGCATTCCACCACGGTAGAGCATCTCTAGGATTCCTATCTGCTCCTGTGTAGGGTTCCACCTTGTGCCTCCAGAAGGAGCGTCCACCTTCAATTTTTGGCCAATTATCATGTTTTAGAAGGGGTTTTTATATATAGCAGCAGTCAGCTGCAGGCATTAACTAACCATAACCAGGTAATTAAACTACACGATAATGATCATATATAGTTTGGTATTAATTAATTACCTGAACGGCTTCTCGCTTGTCGTCGGACTTGCTAGGTCCACTACTACTTTCAGGCTTGATGAAGCTTTTGAGGTCAAGAATAGCCGGAGTTTCACCATTAGTAAGCTTGGGTGCAAGAGGCCTTAGGCGCTTGCAGCCAAGTGTGAGGGAGGGTTCATGCTCCCATAGCCCACGTGCAAGCTGATGAACCTTCATGTTCAAGCTTCTCATGGAGTAGAGAATCGCAAGGTGGGTGGTGTTTATATAACACAGAGAGAGAGAGAGAGAGAGAGGTGTGCCTGTGTGGTGTTGGGAGGTAAGGGGTTCAGAAAATGGGGAATGAAGTAGTGCCTACTGCGTTGGTGAAGAACAAAGACCAAATGATGAGGTGAGGTTGACTTGAAGAGAGAGAGAGGGTGCATGATACAAAAAAGAAAAGAAAGAGGATGAGTGTTGATTGCTGAAAGGGGAGGAAGTAGGAAGAGAGGGCGAGTGAAAAAACAGAGAAACTGTTTGGGAGTGTGTTGGCCCGTCAAATCAGGTGGTTTTTCTTACTTTCATGATAAGGGGTCATGCTGTTTTCGGTGGCCTCCGTGGGCTCTCGTCACTTTTTTCCCTAAGGCTGTGTTTGGTAGAGGTGTAAATTCAAATTTACACGGATGGAAAATTTGATCCCGGTTTAGTGATCGATGGAAAATTGAACCGAGGTATTTTAGAAATTTTCTCTCATGTTGTTTGGTTGTTTCGATGTAAAAGTGAAACTCTGAAACTTTGCTCTGCTCTGACACAAAAACTCTGCTCTACTCTGAATATTGTCATGGGTGGAGGGAAGGGAAATACACAGAGAAGCTAGAATCATGGATGAGGATTCAGAAGCGGCAGCATATTGGGCTCCTTGCCTCCATTTTTGCTGGTCTTTGCCGGAGATGTGAGAGGGGTAGAGCACAAGTGAAACCAGCATGGTCTTGGTGGGGATAATTTGGAAGGTTTATGTAGGATCTGCACCCCGGGCCGATGAATCTACTACACTGGAGTGGGAAGGGGAAGCCATGGTTGAGACTGGACTCAAGGCGGCCGTGTCCGTTGGCTTGTGGGTGCCCTATGTCGTCCTTGTTGTTGGAGCAGAGATAATGACAGAGAGGAAGAAAGAGACGGAGAGGAAGAAGAAGAGAGCAAGAGTACTCCTCCGTTTCCTAGGACAAGTGCTTGAAAGTTTGGCAGACGTCGGATCTCTGTTGCTTGGAGTTTGCGAAAGCACATGAAGATGCCATAAATGCTGTTGCTATTTCTGTCGACGGAACCATTTACACGATCAGAGCGGACAGACGCAGGGTATGGGGAAGAACGTCAGGAGAGAGATGGAGAAGAGCAAGCGAGAGAGGAGGAGAGAGAGAGAGTGCGAGCGAGCGAATGATGTAATAAATACATCGAAAATTTTGATGTATTTATTACATCGATAATCGATATAATTTAATAGTACAATGTAATTTTACACCGATTTTTAGTGTAAAATTGCATGTTTACCAAATGACTGCAAAATCGAACTGGGGTACAAAGTTTACCCCAATTCTATTTTACACCTCTACCAAACGCAGCCTAAAGTGGGAAGAGGGGAATGAAAAAGATTCCTCCAATCCCAACACTTGAAAATAGAACTCTTGCTTTTAGGGATACGGACTCTGAATGCCGTTTTTAAGTGGTAGGAGAATGTTAGCCATAGCCAGGAACCAATTACCAAATCTATCTGAACCCAATCCGGAGCTGTCCTCAATCCCCACCACCTCTTTATTTCTTTCTTTCCTTTATTTTTATTTTCTTTGGGAACTGCATCACACTGTAGCCTTCCAAAATACAAATAGTATAAAACCACCGAGCCCATCTTTTCCTTGCGACCTCTTATATATGTCAAATTTATGCCTTTTCTTTTTGTGATTTCCCTTTATTATGTCTACGGCCTGACGACCTCTCCTTCTTTATTTATGTATGTATTTCTTTCTCTCTTACACACATTTCCCATTTTAAACGGAACAACATGTCATCATTTCTCATGGCAAGTGTACCCTACTTTACCATCCACTTTAACTCAAAAGGAGCTCAACATAATCAACCGATGATAATAAATAGTTAAATACTCCCCCCCCCCTCTCTCTCTGTCCAGTCCTTGACCGGACTGGGCAACTCAATACCTCCACGCCACTCGGTGTTATTTCGGGGGCCAGACCTCCAGCAAGCATCGTCGGACCCATTGACGCCCTTGGCCCTTCATCGTCTTAAATTCCAAAATCAATTATATTCCATAGCAAATTAAGGAAAAGAAAGAAGAAGCTAGCAGCAAGCCGCTGACTTGCAAAAAATTGGAATATAAATATTTAATTGATTTCAGGGGGAAAAGATGAGCTTCCCGTAAAAGGACAAGGGAATGCATGTTTCCAGTTTTCCCCCTCTCACTCTGAACGTACTCATCTTTTTAAAAGAACAAGACATGCTATCATGTTGGAGCCATTATTTCATTTTTTGTTGCTGATTATTATAACAACTTCATCTTGGGCTAGGCCGCTTGCAGATCGAATGGCCTTTAGATAACGATGTACGTGTTGAGTTGGAGTGAGTTCTCAAAATCTCTTTTCTCAATTCTCATACAGGCAAAAGCCATACATTGATGACTATCCACACGTAAGGTAGCTGCTAGAGTGAGTGATTTTGGTTTGGTGTTTGGTGTTTCCCTGATTCTAACCCCGTCCGTGCGCGTGGCAATCAACTAATTGTGTTCCGTAACTTTAACTACAGATGTCTAGCTTCTAGCTAGGCAGTGAATTTAGAAGGGAATGTTGATGATGAATAGTGTTATCATGAGCTAACACCACCGTTTCAGGCGTAAGCAGATGCTGAAACCCCATCAATCACGAGTTGATAAAAATTTCTTCACAGTTCACACAATCAGCAGCTTCATGAAGTCATCACCTTTCATCTCCGAGTAAGTGCAGGTCAGGGGTCAGTTCAGGTCACTCGTCACTGCAAAAGAATTCAGACCAATGGAATGACTGTAGCTGCCTGCTCATTGCTGCCATCAATCAAACAGTTGATATTTGTTATGGTCCTACATACGATGCGGACCATGCGTGTTGGTACGATGTGGCCTGGCCATTCACCAACAAAAGCATGCAGTGATCGCTGATCAGGACTCAGGAGTGAGAGACACTGTGACCCATTCTTGATCCCATCTTTTAGTCTCTTCTCTTTCTGATGGGGTTTGACCGACCGGATACATTAGTTCCTGCTTCCTAGTAGTTAGGAACCATTTATGGCGTTAAATTAACTAGCTTTAGTAAATAGAACAGTTGTTATTGTTAATGAGGAAGAAGAGAAAAACACTTCTCTCTTCTGCTGCTGTTTCTGTCGGTCAAATATAAAAGAAGATGGGGTGCATGATACAAGTGGATCCCACACAGTGGAAGAAGCGGTGCAGATCCATCATTAGGGGAAGACAATGCCATCATTTGCACGAGTTCATGGGCCACAAAAGAAAGTTTTAAAGCATACAATAACAACAAAACAAACTGTAGCTTTAATATATATAGATTTCTAGATTTGAGAGAGAGAGAGAGAGCGTCTTCAACCTTTTTCTATGACTTTATATTATTCTCTCGTTTTCATTCAGCTTGGGAACACCTTTTTTTTTTAACTCGGAAATTGATCGAAAAGTAGAGTGACGCCCTTTAATAGATCGAATTAATTTGTGCCAAACAAAGTGGATGAATAGGAGGAATCAGGAGATATGGGGGGTCATTCATTGTTCTTCACGTCCCTTCTTCCAGGTTTTAGGCCCTAAATTTTTTGGGGCTTGTTTGTCATACTAATGTTACTACCTAGTTTTACTAGGCAAACGTAGATGGTGCATGTTTTTTGAATTGATCAAATTGTTGAGTAAAATGGAAGCTAAATTTTATTAAGACTTGGTCAATATAATGAATTAGGTGAGGCAAAAATTAAATAAAGCATATCGAACTAAAGTAGTGCAGCTTAAAGAGTGGAATTGGAATATCCTAGAAAACTTTTTTGCTGGCATCTTTAGTTATCTTGGGGCCGGATTTAGGTTGTCTAATGGTGATTTCGCTTTACCTCAAAAAAGCAAGAGGGAAATGGGGTCACAAAGCATGATCACATCGTGAACATTTGTCTTGTCGTGTGAAGGAAAGTGGGCACAGGTGTGCACGTAAAGGGATTTGTTGGGTGTAATGGATGACAGTCTAAGCACAATCCTGAAGTGATGGCACTAAGGGGCTCAACCCACTTTTCTTTTCTTTTTAACATTGTGCTGTTTTGCACAGACTTGGGAGTTCAATTCTGACTCTTCTCAATCTCTATTTCTTTCTCCTCCTCCTTTTCTCTTCTGTTGGATGATTATCTTTCCCGCCAAACACAATAATGGATGTGAGGAAATTACAACCTACACAAGAACAAATTCTGATTTAATTCTGTTTCAGGTTTTGTTTTGTTTCATTTGTTTGCTTTGTAAAACTCAGATGAAGTAAAGACAGACAAACCCAGCTCAAGCAACCAAAGTAAAACCCAAAAGCAAATGTAGTTGTTGAAATTCTTCAATTACAATCCAGTGCAATTTTAGCCATTAGGCAAGATGAATTTATATGGATCCATAACATAGCTAGAGTGGTGGGGACACCGCTTGGATTGGACGTGTGTGTCGTATTTGAAATATAATTGGTCCCACTGGACACCTTAGCCACTGAAAACTGAAAAGGCTCAGCCCTGGTCTTTGTTGTGGTCGGATGGGGCTCAGCCTCATTTACTATCATCTATTACTCTTAGGCAAGGTTATAGGTGGGAACAGATAAATAAGGTATCAAATATGAAATAATAGCAAAAATGATTAAGTCTATATGACATAAGGCAGGTATAGGATAGTAATATCATAATTCATAACAACAACCCGTGACAGGCTGAGATTCTATAGCCAAAAAACCCCGGTCATTACTCATTAGCCGATTCGGAGCATCCAAACCCGTCCGAATAGCAAGGGGTTATCCAACTAATCCTGCAAAATGGTCTAACTCTGGAGTTTCTGATTTGTGAACCTCGCCTAGAATATTCCATATGGTTGGAATTTATAAGGCAGAATCCCGGCAATTAAGCACATGAATCCGTAGATGAAAGGCCTAGTCATGAGCTGATACAAGAATAGAATCAAACTATCAAATTTCAAAGCTGATATTTGAATGACAGATTTTCGGCAACAGTTTTCACATATACTGCAGCATATTCATGCGGAAAGAGGGAGGAGGCCAACAGTCCTCTCACCCCTCAATCTTCACACGTACCTCTTCATCTTTTCATTGTGGTTATTTATTTTTAAATTAAATAATTAAGAATATAAGAAGTCATATTAAAACCCTTTTAATTCTTAGTTTTCTCTAATAAAATTCTACTATTACTTTAACTAATAA